CAGCCAGTTAATAGTAGTTGCAGATTTGAAGTTTTTCACCCAATTACATTAGATGAACTTAGAGATATTTGTTTTTCATTAGGAAAATCGGCTGGAGTAGATAATGTTAATGCTAGAGTTATTCAAGATTGCTTTCATGTCATTGACCACATCTTTCTGGACCTTACTAATAAATCATTGCAGAATGGACATGTACCACAAATTTGGAAGGAATCCTTAGTGGTTCCTATTCAAAAAGTTGCTGGAACGATTAAAGCCGAAGAGTTTCGTCCCATCAACATGTTGCACACTTTAGAGAAAATCTTAGAACTTGTTGTAAAAGGCCAGCTGTTGGAGTATTTGAATAGCAACTCTTTGTTGATACCAGAAAAATCGGGATATCGGGAAGGGCATTCTTGTGAAACTGCATTGAATTTGGTGTTAGCAAAGTGGAAAGACAACTTGGAGCGTAAAGATACGATTGTTGCTGTTTTTTTTGGATCTGAAACGCGCTTTTGAAACAATTTCTAGGTCCTTACTGTTAAGTACAATCAAGCGCTTTGGAATTACGAGTACTGCATATAAATGGTTTGAAAGCTATTTTGTCTGACAGAACTCAACGGACTGTTTTAATGATTCTGTTTCCAGTCCCGTGGGGAACAACCTTGGAGTGCCCCAGGGAAATGTATTAGGGCCCCTTTTATTTATTATGTATATTAATGACTTGCGACGTGTTTTACGGTTTTGCGACATTAATCTTTTTGCAGATGATACTGTGTTATTCATTGCAGCTAAGGATTTAGAAGTTGCCGTCACACACTTGAATGAAGATTTGCAGTATCTAAGTAGATGGTTGAAGTGTAAGCAGTTAAAATTGAATACAAGTAAAACTAAATTTATGGTAATTTCGCGGAATCGAGTAAATGAGAACGTCTCTGTTGTAATTTATGATGAGACTATTGATCGCGTTCAGGAGATTAAATATCTTGGCGTGATTATTGATGACAAACTTAAGTTCAACTATCACATTGACAATGTCATCAAGAAAATTGCCAAGAAGTATGGAATTCTGTGTCGATTGAAAAACGATTTAACTATTGCCAGTAAAATACAGCTATACAAATCAATCATCTCTCCTCATCTAGACTTTTGCCCATCCATTTTATTTCTGTCCAATGCAACACAAATATCGAGATTACAGCGCTTGCAGAATAAAATAATGCGTTTGATTTTGAGATGTAATAGATTCACTTCCTCAACTTTGATGCTAGACGCCTTACAATGGTTGTCGGTGAAGCAAAAAATTGTATATTTGACTATGGTGTTCATTTTTAAAGTAGTAAACGGTTTGCTGCCTCGATATTTGTGTGATCGAATTGAAAGAGGAAGTGACTATCATAGATATAATACTATGATCTGACCATGAAACAAGCAACTCATGGGATTCCCGATCAACTTCGACCTATTATTATTCCGCGTATTTTTACTGAAAAGTACCAACAAGTCAATTGCATGAAAAGATATTTTACAGACGGGTCCCGTCTCAATGGATCCACTGGCTTCGGTGTCTTCAATGAAAACTCTAGCGCCTTCCGCAAACTTCAGGAACCTTGTTCCGTTTTTGTTGCTGAGCTGGCAGCAATCAACTTCGCATTGGGGATGATTTCCAACATGCCCGCAGACCATTACTTCATCTTCACGGATAGTCTCAGTTCGATTGAGGCTATTCGGTCGATGAAACAAGGTAGGCACTCATCTTATTTCCTTTCAAAGGTAAGGGAGCAGATGTGTGTGCTGGTCGAAAGATCATATATGATTACCTTTGTATGGGTCCCCTCACATTGCTCAATCCCAGGCAATGAGAAGGCGGACTCTCTCGCAAAGGTGGGCGCGCAGGAAGGCGAATTGTATGACAGGCAAATTTCACACGATGAATTTTACCATTTAGTGCGTCAGAGTACCCTTTCGAGTTGGCAAACCGATTGGGACAATGGAAATCTTGGACGGTGGTTACATTCAATTATTCCTAATGTTTCTTCGAGAGCGTGGTTTAAAGGCTTGGGCTTAAGTCGTGACTTCATTCGCGTGATGAGTAGACTTATGTCCAACCACTACTCGCTAGATGCTCATCTCAATAGAATAAACCTCGTGGACAGCAACATCTGTCGGTGTGGAAACGGTTACGATGACATCGAACACGCAGTTTGGCAATGTACGGATAATGACGCCGCCAGAGAGCGACTTTTGAATACCCTCGAGGCCCAAGGAAGACAACCCTATGTTCCTATCAGAGACGTGTTGGCAACCCGTGATCTCTGCTATATGCAGTCCGTTTATGTTTTTCTTCAAATGTCTAGTATAAGAATTTAATTCCTTTTGTCTTTTGTCTCTCTTTATTAGTTTTTGTTTGTCTTGTCCCCCCGTCTCGATGAGTCTCATCGTCGCCCACTGGTCACCCACCATAGCCGGTCGAACTCCGGACGAAGCTAGAACAGCACTACACAGCTAAAAAAAAGTAGTGTAAATATCCGTTACTATGATGCACATAAATGGAGCGTCATATATCATACAAGTTTAGATTATAGATCGTGTAAATTTATGAGACATGTCACGCAATATTCCATATATTGTATGCAACTGTCCACTTTTGTTTGCAACATTTCTTGCAAGCTGCTAGTTTACGTGAAAAGGAAGTTTACATGTATGAATGTTTGCATGCATGGATGTTTACATCGCCAGTAAAATTCAGAATTTTTTGGTGTGTACCGTTCATACTGGCGACAACGCTCTGATGAGACAACGTTACCCTACCCCAAGCTCCTTCCCTGATCCTATCCTTCGAAAATGTACCCTTCTAACCTCGAGTAAGCCACGAGTAATCGGCCCAACTCCTACTAGACATAGAATTAAGTGAATTTTGTTACACACAGTGAACAATGAATTATCGGCTCCGTAAAGCTAACGCGATTGAGCCTTCCAAATAAACGAACTAGATAAAAAAAAAATAGATATAATACTAGAAACGCGGATGAAATAAGAACACCACATTTCTTGACTTGTGCATCACAGAATTCATTATTTTTTAAAGGAATAAATGTTTTCAATTCGATGCCTAGACACATTAAACGTTCAACAACATTAGCAGAATTTAAGAGACACTGCGTTTCACACGTTAAAACTGTCTTTTGAACGGTTATCCAGTGATTTTTTTTTTATGAATTGACAAATTATGTATCTTGACGAAGTTATTTTTAACGGATTATTTTGTATGGATAGGTGTTATAACGACTTTTGAATAATTATTGTAGCACTGCAAAAACTATCTTGTAATCTATCTAATAGTAGTATTAAAAAAAATAGTAGTCTACAAAGGTTTGAGCCTCGCGCGCGTATTACGGATATAGAGGACTGAATTTAACATTTGATAATAAAAAAATGCGATTTTGAAGCTTATTTGGAAGATACCTTGAGTTAGTAGTAAGTTTTCTGGAAAATGTTGGGGGTTTGTGAGCATTCCCGACATTGCTGAAAATTATGATAGCATCAGATTGCGGGGTTACTAGTGTAATAGGATGCTTTGTTGATTGTTCATTAACTCTTGATTGCTTGTAATGCTTATGAATATTTTAGGTGGACAAAAAGGCGAACTAAGAGGTGGACGCCTGAGCTTTTCCACATTTATATCGCTGTAAAGCAACTGTAAACTCTAGAGGGAATTTATATCTGTAACTGAAACCAGTTCGATTTTGTTTGCCAACCTGGTTAAAATGTCATATTTAATTATCTTAAAGATTAATCGTCCAGCTCAAACCTTTGTAGGGGTAAGAGGTGGGACCATCATCATCATCAACTTCCAAGAACATTTTGATTTCTTCCTTAAATTCAAAAGCACGGTTGAGAACATTGCCTTTGGACAACCAGCAAGCAACAGTGTAGAAAAGAAGAACCACATGATCGGAATTAATTTGCTTGTAGAGTTCTTTGAATAAACGAGTGTTCAGAGCTCCAGATTTGACGTAATTAACTATTTTGATGACAGAATCAAGTACTTTTAACATTAGTTCCGGCAGAGTCTTGCTCTTGCTAACGAGGGCATATCGGAAACCTGTGGTGTATGGAGAAAGCTCTATAATCTATTTCTGAAATCTCGATTTGTTACCAAGTATTGCTTGAGCGCCATCGATATTAACTCCACTTACTTTTTCCCACTGTAAGCCACCCGATTCAAAAAATGTTTTGATTTTAGTCAAGATATTGTCACTTTTGGCATATTTTTTTAGACCAAACAAACCAAGACCCTCGCGGACCACCGGTTGGGAAACACTGGCTTAGGAAATCCCAAAAAAAAATGTTAGTCGATGTTTTGCTATTTGTAAGAAACAAAAAAAAAATAACTTTTATATGTAACATGTAAAAGGAAAAAATCGTCCCGAAAGAGTTCGATAAGAGCAGCCCTAAGGTTCATGTTGGGAAGTGAATTCCAGAGAAAAGAAAAAGCCTCTTTTGATATAACTTATTATGCTCGTCGGCAAAAAACAAAATTTTGTTTCCATGTATATTTTAAAGGTATTTTCGTTGCCAATTCTCCGCAACCCATTGGCCGACTAAATCCTTGTCATGGAGCCAAAAACGATTGAAATTCAATTTAAGCGCCAAAGCGTCAAACGGCATCAAAGGGAATTTGGTTTTGCTTTCCATCGTGCCCCTCCCCAAGAGGCACCGCAGTGTGGGATGGGATTGTCGAAGCTCGTGGAAAAGCGATCCGGGACCCGGTAATTACTATTCATGACCCTGATGGGATCGATTTGGATTTTTCCGTTCCGATGATGCCTCCCAGAGTGGGAAGTACCAGAGGAGCGTGGCGAACAGGTTTACACTGCACATCGATCCAACCTGGTGCTGAACACACAGGGAAATGTTGGCCACGACCGGCACCGGTGAAAGGTCATAAAGATGGCTTTCGGATATCGAGGACTTGACCAGAGATTGTACAGTTTTTTTTTTTACTTTCTTTCGCTTGCTTTCAGTCGAACTTGATTTTTATTGTTTCGATTGTGCAGTATTTTTTTTTTATTCGTATATTTGTGCTGCATTTGCGTGCGCGATTCATTGCGTGAGTGAGTCTGTAACGGAGTGCTCGTTCAAAGTTTATTACTATTTAACATTTATATTTGAGCTCGCATCGTCTCTCAACTGCTCGTCGTTGGTTGCCGAGCGCAAGAATCACTTCCTACTAATCTATCAAAATATTTATCGTCTAGCTTTAGGGAGCAATCAATGAAACGCCAGCCCGAAACTGGGTCTTCTGGGTAAAAGGTACAAACTACGACTATAAATAACAACAGCAACAACAAGAAGCGAGGGAAAGGGCGCCTTCGACGTCATAACTTTAACACGATAACAATCACCTAGGCTTTGCTGCGTATCAATCAAAAAGCGAATCAACTTATTCATAAAGAAATCATCGATATATTATCTACAGACGCATAACTACTAATATTGAAAGCTTTTCTCGTTTTCTATGCTTTATCTATTACTTTTTCTTCTTTTCCGTAGGACTACATGGCTACTGTATTGGCTGCGAGAGACTGCAGTCGCGTGCGATCGATACAAATCAAAATCGAACGGTTGTTGGCTGCTGTGCGTCGAATGGGTTAGTTTTTTTTTTTTAGAAGCACTGGCTATATTTGCATACTTATCAGAGATATATGTTGTCTAGGTATTTATTAGTGGATTTCACTGGTTTATGGGCTTGCTTGTATACTGGTAGGATTATTTCGTCAGAGGGAGATTCTAGCGTTTTATTGGTTCCCTGCGTGGCAGGTGGATGGCGATGCAGGATGATATGCACTATTATTGCAGAGATTGGTGCTTATACTGCTTGTACATTAAACTTGAAAACTATCTGACATTGTTTTTTTTTTGTCGGGCTAAGTGCATATCACCCTAATCACTATACCGCATGCACGCTCTCCAGCAAATTAGTGTTCTGACCTCTCGTTTGTTAATCAATAATTAAATGTTTTGACATTTGATTAAGATTATGCTTTAACCTTCTTTTCTCCATTTTCGGCTGCCTTCACGCGTTTTCAAACCTTAACTTTCATCAATGATATTTTTCGTCCGAGTGTGCCTTAAGCTTTCTTCTGCTGCTGAAAGCGGCTTCTCATTATAATCCGATGGTGGTGTGTGATTTTCTTGCAGTTGGTTAATTATTGATTTCCTTGGAGTAAAACCAAATCTCCACCACTCAGCGCCACATCTCAATCATACTGCGCTGCGAAAGGAATTTCCCTAGTGTTTTTATTACCTCTAATTTGTTAGTCTAATTTCTAATCTGTTGCATTGAATAAATTATACACGACATTCCATCTACAACTTAGCACAAGAGCAGCGGTAGTATAGTGAATATGTGCGTGGCGTTCGAGAAAGGCGAACAATCTAAAAAAAACACGTTATAAACAGCTTTAACGACATTATTTCGAGAGACACTGCTGACTGGCTGGAATCAAGGCCGGAACAGGCATAGGATGCAATAATAATAATAATAACATGTGCGGGAAACGATAACAACCCAAACAAAAATGTTGCTGCTTCAACTGGCATTGTTGCCCCAATCGGCAACAAACTCCTCCGCCTAGCTGGTGATCGCGACCGCACTGCTACTGCTGGTCGTTCCCGTGGTCGTGACTGCCGTAACCAGACCCTTGCCGCCGCCCACCGAGGCGCTCTGATGACGCAGGTAGTGCTCGCGATCTTTCAGATACTGATAGACGGCGTGATACTTTTGCTGACGGGCGATCTGCAGAGGCGTTAGCCCTTCCTGGTTCTTGATGGAGATTTCGGCACCGGCAGCAATTAGCTGCTTCACAATAGGCAGATGCCCGAAAAGAGCAGCCGCGTGCAGAGCGGTTTCGCCATTCGGAATCAGTCCCAGATTTGGACGGTATTTTAGCAGCTCATGGACCACCGAACTGTGACCCTTGTGGGCGGCTTTGAAGAGCGCGGTGGCGCCATCCTGAGTAGGTGAATATCCATTGTTTCAGTGGGGTGTGTAAAGAGCTTAACGAACGAGAATCTTAAGGCTACTTACGCATCGGACAGCATCGACGTAGGCTCCATGCAGCAGAAGGATTTTAACGATGTGGTCGTGACCCATCTGAGAAGCGATCCACAGGGGGGTGGCACCATCGTTGCGAGGAGTGTCCGGTTGGGCATCGGCAGCCAGCAGCAGCTTCAGGACTGCGTTGTGGCCATTTTGAGCGGCAATGAAAAGCGGCGTGGCACGGTCCTAGTTCAGAAAGCAGAAAGTAGTCGAAGCGTTAATAATCTTGGAAGGAGTATTTGAAACAGGTGTTAAATATGGCAGCTATACCAAGTAACAATTTAGCAGCCTTTTGGCTTTCACTCTAATTTTTTTTTTATCTAGTTCATTTACAACTCAATCGCGCTAGCTTTACGGAGCCGATTATTAATTGTTCATTGTTTGCAACAAAATTTACTTAATTTTATGTCTAGCAGGAGTTGAGCCGAATACTCGTGGCTTACCCAAGGTTAGAGGGGTACATTGTAGAAGAAAAGGATAAAGGGAGGAGCTTGGTGCTGGAGCTTTGTTGTCTCATCAGAGCGATTCCGCCAGTATGAACGGTAGTGTGGTTTTAGATTCGTCTGGAGTTCGACCGGTTATGGTGACCTGTTGATCTGTTCAGTCCGTATTTTCGCTCGATTTTATTTCGTTTTGTGCTATCGCGTTGCGCCGTGGAAGTGTCGCCACCTTCTCGCCTTCTGGCAAGTTCACTTGAACTTCCAAACACGAAACAAATGGTGCGTAAACGTGCCAATGAGCCAGCAGCGGGCCCTTCAAAGAAGGTGCTAATCAAGCACAGCGCATCGCAGGATGTCGCCGGAAAACGGGTACTGCAAGCCAACCAGTATGCAGTACTCCCGGAAGAAAATGGCGATGGTGACGCCGTTCCCATTGCAAGAAGAGAGCGGATTCCCTCGCTTTTCACGCCGGTGAAGCATTTTGCCAAGCTAGGTGCGAAACTGGCAAAACAGAAGCTGCTGCCTCGCTTCAAGCTTTGCAGCATCGGTACCAAAATTATGTGCTCCAACATGGAGGAATACAAAAAAATAGGATGTTTCCTGAACGACAACAACGTGGACTTCTTCACGCATGATCTGCCATCGAGCAAGCCACTGAAAGTGGTTTTGCGTGGATTACCGTCGTTCGAGGCGGCTGCGGTGAAGTCCGAGCTGGAGCGGCTTGGGCTCAAGCTTGATGCAGTGTACTCGATGAACCGGCGTGGTGTTGTGACCGGCTTCCGTGGCCAGTTGTTCCAGGTGCATTTCACGAATGGATCCACCAGTTTTGCGGCTCTGAGATCCAAAATCTGGGACTTGTTTCAGGTTATCATCAGTTGGGAGCATTACAAGCCCCAACATCGTGATGTTACGCAGTGTATGAACTGCCTCTCTTATGGCCATGGCACCAAAAACTGCCATATGAAGACAAACTGAGGCAAGTGTCCTGAAACTAACTCAACTGCGTCCTGTGAGCAAGATGATGACATCGTGCCAACGTATGTCAACTATGGTGGAAACCACCAAGCCTCCAATCGCGGATGTCCCAAGCGTGTGGAGTTCATGAATATCCATCGGAAGGCTACAATCAACAACCAGCTCAGTCGCTTCCCTAATCATCGTTCGCCTCCTGTACTCACGGAAATCTAGTACCCAGCTTTCCAGCCCCGTCGACATGTTCCAAACCTAGCCCCACTTCCGCTCAACAACCGACAAGCCAATCATGCGAGTATCCAAATGGTTCCAAACAGTCGGACAGTTCAGCATCCTCTCGCTGCTGCAGCCCAGCGAGGTTCATCCACCGCCCCTGGTTTATCATACGCTGGTGCTGTCTCAGGTGAACCTGTCGAAGATTCTCCGTTCACCTCGGAGGAACTTGTGACACTCGTGGCCGAGGTCATCATCATCATGCGCACCTGCAAGACTCGATCTGAACAGCTACATGCTGCCCTGTCTCTTGTCACTAAGTATGGACCGTGAAGCCATCAAGATCGTAAATTGGAATGCTTGCTTGCAAAATCATCGAGTTTGTTGACTTTCTCAACGAACGGCACATCGACATAGCCGTCATCACCGAGAATCACTTGAAGCCCGAGCTGAACGTCTTCCTTCCCGACTTTCGGTTGCGAGACGGAACATCAGCTGCCGGCTACTACCAAGCTTCCAGCTGAAAATTATCGAAGCCATCGGAGTTGAGGTGACCACATCGCTTGATCCAATCACTATCATCGCGGTCTACTGCCCCAAGCAAACCAACATTAGGGACAGCTCGGCCGCAGACCTTCGCAGAGACATTATCAAGCTAACACGACGGCGGCAAAATTTCGTCATCGCTGGCGACCTGAACGCCAAGCATCAAGCCTGGGGCAATAGTCGCCGAGACCAGAACGGCACAACCTTGTACAACGATCTGCAGGAAGCCCACTACAACACCCTGTGTCCGGACACTCCCACCCGGTTGAGTCGATCCGGAGCTCATGTCACCATCGACATCTTCACCAGCAACATTGGCGATAACATCTCTCAACCTATGGCCTATCAGGAACTGAGCTCGGACCACTATCCGGTGGTGGCCGAAGTAGGCTCCTCGGCCAATAGGTTTCAAGTTTCCCGGTGAAATTGCCATCGTGTCAACTGGCAGCAGTATCAGCGCTGTGTGGACACAGCAATCAACTATGACGTCCTACCGGAGTCGTTCGAAGAAGTTGATCGGTGTCTGCAAACCATGGAAGAGGCGATATCCCGTGTAAGGGAACAACACGTACCGGCATCCACACAGGTGAGTCATACTCCGAACCTTGACAGCCCAACCAAAGATCATATCAGGCTCCGTAACACCATTTGTAGGCAGTTCCAGCGTTCTGGGCTGCCCCACTTGAAGACCAATGTCAACAGGCTAACCAAAATTATCCAGGCCAGGATGATGGAACTCAGAAATAAAGATTTTGCCAACAAGATTCGCTCTCTCCCAGATTGTGCAAAACCATTTTGTAAGATAATCAAAATTTTTAAAAATAAGTCGAGATCGATCCCTACGCTTTCCTCTGTTGACCAGAACTTGGACCCATCCCTACTCATAACCTCAGTTGAAAAGGCCAATGCTCTTCGCCAACATTTTGTGATTTCACATCTTGGCCAAACCATGGTGAGCCCCCATGGGCCTGCCGTACTGGAGGCAATATCTAGAGTCGCTGACACCCCCGTAGTAATGCATGATGATAGTAGAATATCGGTTGATGAGGTGATAGCAGCTATTAGAAGCACTAAAAACACGAAGGCCGCTGGTGTCGATGGAGTGGTCAACCTCGAGCTGAAAAACTTGAGTGTTGACTTCTTCAAGCACCTTGCAATGGTCTTCAACAAGTGTTTAATGCTTGGCTACTTCCCTGCATGCTGGAAATTAGCCAAAGTGATTCCAATACACAAGCCGGGATAAGATGCTACCAGTGCCAAAAGCTATCGCCCCATCAGCCTCTTGTCCTCCATATCGAAGCTATTCGAAAGGTTGATACTCAGCCGTCTGCTGGTGTTTTCAAATGATAATAACATCTTTCTCAAAGAGCAATTCGGGTTTAGGAAAGGCCACTCTACCATCCACCAACTTGCACGGGCTACTAACATCATCAAGCGGAATAAGTTCGTTTCCAATACATCTGCCATGACATTATTAGACGTCGAGAAGGCGTTCGACAATGGTCTAGTGTACAAGCTGCATCGATACAACTTTCCGATTTACCTTGTGAAGATCATCAAAAACTACTTGTCAGGCAGATCATTCCAGGTCTACTTGAACAATGTCCCCTCTGATACGTTCAACGTTGATGCAGGGGTTCCTCAAGGTACCCTGCTTGGGCCTGTCCTATTCAACATTTTCACGTCAGACGTTCCTCCCCTGCCAGGTGGTGGTATCCTGTCTATGTTCGTAGATGACACCTCCATCATCTAAAAGAGTCGAGTGATACGTGCTCTGGCGAGTAAACTACAATGAGGCCTGGATGTTCTGTCCGACTATTTCAAGAGATGGAAGAATTGTATCAATGCGGCTAAAACACAAACCATTCTGACCTGTTAACGTCAAGGTCCATCTTGAAAGCACTCCCATTGAATGGTCGAGTGAAGTAGTCTACCTTGGCCTCACCCTCAATAACAAATTGTTATTCCGATCCCATGTGGACAAGACATCAACCAAGTTTAATATCCTGATCAGGTCGCTCTACCCTCTGATAAACGGGAAGACTACCCTGTCCCTCAAAAACAAGTTTGCTGTCCACAAACAGATCATTCTGCCGGCTATTGAGTATGGTATGCCAATCTGGGAGAGTTGTGCTAAGTGCCACCACCTAAAGCTTCAGAGGATCCAAAACAAGATTCTCAGCATGATCCTTAACAGTCCACCGCGAACTCGTAATTCTGAGCTTCACCACCTGGCCGATCTTGAAACACTCGAGGAGCGAAAGACTTCCACGCTGGAAAGGTTCAAAGTCACCTGTCTGCGATCAAACCACCAGATCATTCGTGATTTGGCAACCTAGTTTAAGTAGTTAGGTAGGTTTCCTGTGCTCAAGTAGGTAGGTTCTCAAATTTTTAAATTCAAACAAAAACAATCCCATAAAAGGGTATCCTGTAAATTAGCGCTAAACGCAATCATCAAATTAGAATAACTAATCAACTAGAACAAAGATGAAGAGCCAAAGGCTAACCAATTGCAATATTTAAAGCAAATGTTGAAACATAACAAAACCAGCAAATAAACGTAAATTTTACTACTTTTACATGAGTCTTGGGGCAGGCCCATGTAATTAAAAGCAGTGGATGTTCACGTTAAATTTCAGTCACTAAGATAATGTCAGGAAGAAATCTACACATAATACAACAAATCCGATTGTTTATTTCAGTGAAGTAGACTTAAATCGATAGCAAACAAAGCTTTTTTTGAACGTTAATTCGATCGTGGAAAATCCAGGCCAGTCCCACAGGTGGATCGTGAAACAGCTTGGAATCGACAATTCGACCGTGTCCCGTGTGGTGAAATCGTTCAAGGAGACCCAGAGGACCCAGCGGCGAGCTGGCAGCGGAAGAAAAGTGAAGACGACCGAACCGGTGAACGTAAGAAAGGTGAGGGATTACTTCAAGCGCAATCCGAACCTTTTGATTCGGGACGTGGCCAAGAAGGTCAATTTTTTCCGTCTGGTTCGTCCAGCAGACAAT